ATCTTTAAAACCCAAGCTCAAACGAGTAGTGATCATGTACTTCATTAATCACAGGTGGATCTCTGTGACTTTGAAACCATCCTGATCCATATAATGAGATCCTGTCCCCCCAAACAAAAAAGTCTGTCTTTATATTGCTCTCTATATATTTACATAATATTTAAATATGGGTTTTTTTCCAACCTAAAAACAAGGTCTTTATTAATATACGGAAGCAACAAACTCCCCACTCCAATAACAAATCCAGGAAGTTTAAAAACAAAGTTAAGGATCAGAGGCTAGGAAAAAAATCTAGAAATTTTAACTTGGCTAATGGCCATGGAGTTTAGTTAGGAGTTTTTATCATTGAAGGTGAATGAACAGTTCACTCTCTCTGAGGTTATTAGTTTCAAAGGCCTATGAATTCAAATGCCTTTAGCCCATGGAGCCTCCACATTGGTTTCTCTATTGGCTTTAATGAGATAATGACTGATATGAACAACAGTGATTAAAACACAGATTCAGCTAAGTCTGATGACTGCTTCATGCCATGCCTGTGTAAGATGATATGAACCTGGGGGTGGGTGGGGGATGGGTGGGTCTGTGAATGATAGCCACTCTAGTTTACACAGCCCAGGCACATAGATGGGACAGACAATTATGTCTTTTATGTGCATTTTAAGCTAATTCAGAAAATTTCTACTATTATTCCAGTTAACAAGCAGCAGGCTCATGGGAAGGTTTTCAAAGACCGAGTGAAAGTAGCTGGGGGTTAAGAAATGACAGGAGGGAAATAGAGGGTACCATACAGATGGCTAATTAACAACTTGTAAGACCTTTCACTAAAGCAGCTGGTCTAGTCACATGTTAAAAAGATTCACAGAATTTTTAGAATTGAAAGGGTTTTTGAGAGAGCATCTAGCTCAACCCCTCATTTTATGGATGGGAAAACTGAGACCCAGTTAATTACCCCAGGTCACAGAAGGTCCTGCTACAGAATCAGACTGAAAATTTGTTGTGTTCTGCCTCCCAACCAAAGTGGCTTAATTCCCTCCTAAAATGACAAATTAGGAGAGTGTTCCCAATGAATTAGTACCAGGTATCATCTTTGGCTCCATAAGATTTCTTAAAGTGTGCAAAATATCTAGCAAATAGTTTGGCAGTAGTATTTCTTCATGGCTATTACATCATTTTTATTATGTAATCCAGAAATGTATTTAACACAGCAGCTTTGATCACCTTAATAACCTATGTTTCTTTTAAAAACAATGAGTCTCACAAAGCGCCAGACAGTTTGGGGATGGCTCTTTATGCTGTAGCCCCTAAACATGGATTATGCCCCATTCCTACTATTCCTATCCTTTGCCAAGCAATTCTTCCCCAACACCCACTGAACTAGCTTATTAGCATATTCATGAGACGACTGCTTTAGCTAATTAGCAGTTTTACTACTAAAAAATTCCCAAGACTGGCCAAAAGGGGGAGCAGTCAGCCCTGTCACTCTAATGCTCTGGCTCTAGGACCATTTTAAGATAGAGTTGACAAAACAACTTGCCAGTCCTCACACCCAGAGACACACATTTAAAGCATAGGTGGCCTGGCAACATGGCTCTGTGGGTAAAAGCTGAGTATGATCCCAAAACCCACAGTAGAAAGAGAGAACTAATTCCTAAAGTTGTTGCCTGACACATACCCATGGCATGAACACACCATACATACATATACATACACACACACACACACACACACACACACACACACACGATAATAACATAATAACAATAGCAATAATAATAAGTAATAGTAATCAAATTTTAATATTTTAAAAATAAACCCACAAAACTGGTTGAAGTACTACATGGAGATACTGCCAGATGAAGTCTCTTCTTGTATTTACCCAGGTTTGAAAACATTCACACACACAACTTAAAAAGTAGAATTCAACTTATAAACTATATATTCATTTGAGACACACATAACAATAGAAAATGGAAAGCAAGAGACAAAGGAATGTGTGGGAAAAAAAGATTTGTTCTTCACATTTGGTGAGTCCTGAGTCCAAAAACAACAGAGCAATTAACACACCACTCACTTGCAATGGAGGCAGACTAACCAAAAACTGCGTACACATACACTTCGATAACCCAGGAAGTTGCCAGGGCTCAAAATCAACTCTTTGAGTATGCATATGAGCTTGGATCCTCTTTTGAAAATCGATGGACCTACTACTATTTCATGGTATCTCACTATGTATCTCCAAGGGGGTTGTGTGCAACTTTGCTGTCCTTCTTGGTTCCCCAGCCACCACCTTATTTTTTTGCCAAATTTCCTCTCTTCCATTTACATCAAAGACACATATTTGTCCTTCTAATCACAGTTACGGACAGTTCTTTGATCAAAACACCTTACCTTTGAACTTCTGAGAATTGAAATAACCTTAAAGAACTTTAGTCAACATCCCTGGATCTTTTAAAAATACATCTATCAATCAAACAACCGATGCAGCACCCACTAAAGGATTGCTGGGAACCAGACAACTTGTGTTTTGCCATGGAAAATTATTTCAGAAAACTTAAAAAAAAATGTGCAAAGTATTCCAGGTCTGTTCTGATCTCCAGACCAAACAGATTTCAGCGGCTTACAACAAATTTTAATTGGTGCTCATTAACTTTATTGTCTTTGCCATATTTTAAATTAGAGTCACAAGAAATACACAGGAGTTCTATAATCATTTTTAGTATGTTTTGGAACTGACAAAAGTAGAATTTTAGTGTATTTATTGAATGTGAAGAACAAGATCAATTGTTTCTATATTTTTCTTTAAAAAAAAATCCAAGCATATGTTAACACTTACTGATAACGGCTCTCTATACAGCTTTCTTTAAAAGAAAGCTTGCACACTGTAATCATACTATGTACTATATGCTGCTATAAAACCATAGGGAGAGAGAAGGGGGAGAACTCTAAACCAGCAGACCCATAGGCAATGACTGTGGGCTCTATTCCAGAGAAAGATGTGTGTAACCAGAAACAGGACAGTTTTCTTTGGAGAAGTCTGTATACCAGACTTGGGTATTTGTTATAACTTTCTCTTTGAGAATACCACACCTATGCTCTTGGATGTGTCTCACTTTTTTCTGAGCATCTCTCTCAACCCTCACGTTTAAGCCTATATTAAAAGCATTATCTTAATCCCCAAGTATCCTTCGCCTTAAAAAGAATCGGGGTAACTTAGAGAAGTTGGGATTGGGGACTTGGAAACATGTTTCTCTTCACTGCATGCATCATGCTCTTAAACAGGGGCAGGACTTAAGTTTCCTTTCTAGTTCCGGTATGAGAAAGTCCCATGTGGTGATGTTTAAAGAAGTCACCTCTCTGACATGCCAGAGTTAAGAGACTTTCACTCATTCTGGGCATGTACTACACTCCTGAAATCCTAGCACTAGGGAGGTTAAATCAAAATCACAAATCACAGGCCTCTCAAAAAAAAATTAGATGGGCTTGGAAGGGGTGAGTAATGAGTCATTGTTTTCAAAAGTAAAAATAACAGTGATCCAGAGACAAGGAAGATTCTGATCCTGTCCTTGCCAATAATATCTATTTTCGCAAATTATTAGCATGTGCTTTTTAACAGAAGAAGCTAGATATATCAGAGTTGAGTTAATTGGAATATAAAGATACATATATTTATTTTTACCCATCCAGAGAAAGTAGATAGAATTAAGACCAAACAGATTAGGTCAGTGGTTGAGTACATGTGTAGCATGGGTAATGTCCTGGGTTCCTTCCCTGGTCTCATCATGCAAAAATAAGATCAAATACTTTTGGCACACGGTGTACTTGAAACAGTGAATAGGATCAATGACGTACATTATAATATCCAGACAGTATTAAGTTCAACTACATTACAAATTAAATGCGTCATAATCTGGCCTGGATAGCTTACTAATAGTTATTAAATTGGTTACAAAAAAAGTTACAAGTAATGACTCTCAACATAAATGCCTGAAATACAACCTGTTCTATAGTTGGAGACTGTCTTATCAGCTCTATCAAATCTAATTTAGTCTAACTTCTCACCATGGTAACAAGCTCTTTGCAGTAATACTCAAAGACATTTCACATCTAGAAAATTTGCCTTGTACTACTTCACCATGCATAATGTCAAGAAAAGCTTGCTTCAAAGGTACCATGTAATTAGAATGGCCTTTAAAACAGTCACAAAGGAAATTGTTCTGATTAAATCAAGTCTACTTCACAACAATCATGAGTAAGAAACATCATGAAAGGAATCCTGGTATCTTTGGGACCTCATATTCTAATTTTTGCATCTGTTATCTGTAGTGTGGCTTCAGGTAGGGCTTGAAGTACCTCTCATCTGCTTACATGCTCTCAACTGAATAAAAGTGTTCATGGGAAAGTGTTTAGAATTCTATTATGGTTTTCCATGGGAAGGCTATAGCAGACCTCAGCTAATAATGAGCCTGGGGAGGCAGCTAAACTTGGTGAAGACTATAGACTAGTGGTCACTTCCAGGTTATTGACTGCATGGATGCTCGACAGTTGAACACCAATCTTGTCTATGTGCTATGGGGATTCTAAGAATTCTAGTTGGCAATTCATTGTGAAATGTAATATGAAGTCCAGCATCTGCAGAATCTCTCTACTGGATGGAGGGGGAAGCTAAGACAGTTTTTGAGATGCCTGCTTTTTATTAGGAAGTCTTTTTTTCCAGTGACTTGCGTCAACAACACTATGCAGCATTCACCCAAAGAAAGAAAAGGAAAGCATTTAAATTAACCTCATCTATTTTTAACTCCCTTTGACCATATTTCCATAATGCCTAGTATACAGATGCCTGTGCAAGCTGCTTAGTAACTTGCCTCTGGAACCCTACTTCAACCACACCACCACCAACCACATCTTGGGAGAAAACTGAAGTACTGAGAGAACAGAAGACATCTAAAGAAGCGATCATACAAAACAGCTGTCACCTCTTACATGCAATTTAGATCACATACCATCAAACTTCTTGTAACGAGATGCAAAGATGGCTTGCAAATGATTGCATTGTTCACTGACCACACTTTTGAAATCATCTTTACTTTGCAGACTGTACTTCTCTTCCATCTCTTGAGAACAGCAGGTATAACCCTGGGGACAGATCTTCAAATGGTCACCTGGAAGGTAAAAGATAATCTGTATCACCACTATGCACCGGATCCAAGAGAGAAGGGCTTGATTTCACATGCACTTTCTTCTTCATTTGAGCCAGGGAGCTCAAACATTGCACAGAGCTAAAACATTCATGGCACATGAAACTCTTTATTCTCATGTGTTGGTTTTGTTGTTGTTTTGAAACAAAACCTTATTATTTAAAAAATAAAAAGCTTGCAACCAGACATAGTTACATACACCTATAATTCCAGCACTCTGATTTGAGGCCAGACTGGTCTACAAAGTGAATTCCAGGACAGCTAGGGCTACGCAGAGAAACCCTGTCCCCAAAAACATAAACAAAAAAGCTGGCAATAAATAAAACAGGCCTAAACTCTACACAACTTAATGAATTTATATAAAGTTAGAACTGCATTCAAAATGGAGGCTGTGATGCATCATATTAAAATTTTCACTTTCAGTACCTAATATATTTAATGCGCCTATCAACCATGTTAAAATAAAATAAAAATAAAGCTACCGCCACCCCCCCTCAAAAGAAAACGCAAAAGAATTTTGTAATTAAGAAGATGGTTTTAACCACAGAAGTCAGTGTGAGGCAATAAGAGCAGTACTGATTGGCAGTGATACAAACCTCTCATAAATCCCTTATGATTCTGTGTGACACACTGTGTAAGTCATAAAAACAAGAGATTTGTTTTTTAAGAGTCTGAGAGTTTATATTGAGAGAAGCATTTATAAAGTGTGATAACAACCCAAAACTAAGTAAATATATAATTCCTATATAATTTCATGTTATGGTGTAGGAAACAAACATAAATTTATAAGCATAAATTGGACTGAGGAAAAGCAAAGAGGTCCACACATTTCAAGGAGCTGATGTCACGAAGGAAAACTATGGGGAAATCACACTGGATAATCTGAACCTATGCTAAGTCATAAAGAAGAGACCCTAGGCAATCCTCTATGTTAAGATTTTATATTGCCACCTGCTAGGCAGGTTATCAGACAATATCCTTCTTCTGTGTGATGAAGTTACTTATTCCTCATATTCTCATAGACCAAAGGTTTCCGATAAATGTGATCCTTATGTAGTGATACAGCCCACATGGTTCACTGCATAGCAACCTAGCCCACAAAGTATCTATATTCTTAGACCTACACTCTGTCCAGAGTTCAGAAGTGCAAGGGTTTGGATGGCTTCTTCAATGAGTCTATGAAAACTGCTTTGTAGAGACCAATGACTAATCCCTCACAATGACCAAAGAGGTGCAGTGAGGGTCAACATTAAACCACATCGGGTACTATGACTTGAGGCAAGCCACTATTTACTGGTTTGATAAAACTGTATACACAGTCACTAAAAAAATACCCTAGGCCTAGTACTGAGCATGTACCTATTGCTCCAGCTACTGGAGAGACAACATGGTGAGACTTCATCTCAAAATGAAATCTCAAGGATGAGTCCAGTGGAGACATGGCAACTTGACAATGGTATGTTGAACAAACAGAGGGATCTGGAATGACAAAGATGTCTTCCTACTGCTTGCTTTTTGTGTACTTTCCAAAAACAAGCCTGCCCTTAACACAGACTCCGAAGTACCATTAGGGCTGGGTAGGACTGCTGAACATAAAATAGAGTTGGCACGTCAGTTGATTATCACTAGATTATTAATGCATAGATGTAAATAATTACATACCTATATATCATCATAGGACCAGAATACATGATATGAAATCCACAAAGAATCAGTAAAAATAAAAGAAAAAAAGAAGTTTAAAAAAAACCTGAAAAAAAGCCCCTCTTTGTGGGTTGTTGGTATCAGACTACATAGTTAGCATTGAGATAGCCAGTTGTCTGCTGCTTTCAAGCCTGAGGGTTCCTCTAGTAGTCTAAACACATAAAACAGTTTAAAGGCCCCAAGTATACAGTACTACCCTTATAGCATCCCAGTACTCTGAAGGCAGAAACAGGCAGATCTCTGTCCAGCCTACTATACACAGCATTGTCAACCCTTTACAAAGATCCCATTGGGCATGCATCAAATCTTCAAGGAAAAAAAAATCTCAGGCGATTGGAAAAACATGCACATCTACCCAATCTATTTTTTAAGACAGTGTTACTATGTGGCTCTGGATGATTTGGAAGTCTATCAAGTCATTGTGTTATGTAGACCATGCTGGCCTCAAACTCACAGAAATCCACCTTTCTCTGCCTCCAAAGTGTTGGGATTAAAGGCACTTCCATATGTCCAGTTGTCTATACAATCATGGCATATTCACCCAAGTAAAATAGACAATCTGTTAATTTATTGAATACCATCAAAACAGACCAAAATATAAAAGAAGACGCCTTCCTTAAATGCTGTGCATGTGTCTGAGGGTTTGTACATGTGCACACATGAAAACACACACACACACACACACACACACACTTTGAAACCAGAACACAGTGAGAAATTGGGAAGGAATCATCTCCACTGAAAAGAGCGCCAGATGTTGAGAAATTCAAACCTGCCTAGGACTTTTTACACTGGAGGATATACCCTCTAAGCTTTCCTGTTAAACTCTGCTCAAAGGTTACAATCCCAGGCATTCCACCCATCTCACATCCACCAAGACCTCCAACAGGACCTTATGAGGGCCTGCTTATACTTAATGAAGTGTATGTTTGTCCGGGCAACGGCTAACAAAGACCACTAGTATGCCTTCATATTAGAGAGGTCTTTCCAGAGAGATGTGACCCACTGGTGAGAAAGGCCTGCCTTGTGTAAAGGATGACAATGAGCTAGAAACATGCCTAAGGTGTTGATTGCCAAAGCCACCTTCTTCTGAGAGTCCTCACTCCTAGAGGAATGCTCCTCAGGGCTACATAGCCGTCAGCATACTACTTACTCTCTTTCCATCTATGAAAAGTGCTCTTTGAAAATTTAATTCACATTCTGGCCAAAAGAAATGTATAATCTAATACATTTGTAAATTAAACTGCAAGACAGGCATACTGGGGACTAAAGAACCTGAGCAGTTAACGCTGCTGAAAAGTGTAAGGATGAAAAAGGCAACAGTCTTGTGCACTTGAACTGTAGCTGGATTGCAATAAGGATCTCTGAGAACTCACATGAGCAACAAGACTCTTAAAAAGAATTTCTATCTTTATTTAGTTAGTGTCTTGGTAGCACCTTTACTCATTGAACCATTTTCAGACCCTTTTTTTTTTCATCTCTCTCTCTCTCTCTCTCTCTCTCTCTCTTTTGGTTTTTGAGACAGGGTTTCCTTGTTCCTTGTGGAGCTTTGGAGCCTGTCCTGGAACTACCTCTTGTAGTCCAGGCTGTCCTGGAACTCATAGAGATCCACCTGCCTCTGCCTCCCAAGTGCTAGGATTAAAGTTGTGTGCCACCACCGCCTGGCAGTATTTCTTTTCTTAAACTTTTTAATGTGTATAAGTGGTATGCCTGCACATGCCTGTGTACCATGTACATGAAAGGTGCCTGCAGAGGATAAAATAAGACATTAGATCCCATAGAAATGGAGTTGCAGACAGCTGTGAGCTGCCAGGTGGGTGTTTGCCACTGAATGCCATGTCCTCTGGAAGAGTATCATCCTTGGTGGCACAGTGAGTTACAGGCCAGCCTGGGCTGTATGACACCCTTTTCAATCCCCTCCCCTGAAACAGCAACAAAAATCGATGATCTTTATTGAGGTTTAAGAGGGATCAGGAGAAACAAATAGGCCGAACAGATGTTTCTTCAGAGAGAAATAACTTACAACATAGACAGATGAACACCAGCAGGTTCCTGGTCCCAAGGATGCCTCCGGATGCTCTCCTGTCCCTGTGTGGCAAGCATGAGAGCTCCCGGACCCCTCCTCAGACATAGTTCCCCCAGGTAACATCCGCCCCTGTCTCCACGCCAATGGGCGTGGTCTGTGCCACAGGTGTGGACAAAGTGAATATCTCACTACAGACTTTCATCTCCTTTGTGAAGAACTTTCTTCCTAACTCTGAAGCAGCCAGTTTGTTTGGTCAGCACAAACTCATTGCCTAATATTTACAGTTAAAATCTATCCAGTTTGTTCTTCTCAGTGTGCCCCCTCACTGCATCCCTTCCCCTTATCAAGCATTGTTTGAACATCTAAACTTAAGGATTTCATGACCAGGCACTTGGCTCAGTGGTAGAGTGTTTACCTGATCTCTAAGATCAATTCCCTATACCACAGAGATGAAAATTAAAAAATAAGAGAAAAAACCCCTCTGGTTAATTATACTTTAATCAGCAAAATGCCTCATCTTGAAGGCAGAACATGTATGTTGTTTGAGTGATGGTCTACTTACATGTTTGCTGTATCAAATGAGTAATGCCTTGGGAGAATTCTTCTATGAACTTGGTCATCCTATAAATTTGTCATTTAAGAAAGCTATCACCCTCCGTTAGGCTATTAGCACTGTGTACAGGAGCAACAGAACTGATTCTTCTATGAACTTGGTCATCCTATAAATTTGTCATTTAAGAAAGCTATCACCCTCCGTTAGGCTATTAGCACTGTGTACAGGAGCAACAGAACTGATTTGGGACAAGTGGCATAGCAGTGGGCACAAGCAATATAGACCCCCGACGCCCAGCAATTCTCACACACACACCTTGCATAAGGAATCATCACTGGGAGCTGCAGAGATGGCCCAGGGGTTAAGAGTACTCACTGTTCTTACAGAGGACCCAGGTTCAATTGTAAACACCCACATGGTGGCTCACAACTGCCTGTAACTCCAGTTCCAAGATATCTGACACCTTCTACAGATATTAGGCATACACACGGCACACATTTATACATGCAGGCAAAACACGAATGCATATAAATGGAATAAATCTAATATTATATTTTTGAAAGAATCATCATTGGATACATATTCCCAAAACAACAACGAGGAAGCTTACTAAGGCATCTTTTCGTTCCCCATAGTCACACTCCCCCTCCCCCAAGGAATGATAGTTGTGGACAGGCTTCT